ATATATATATATCTATCTCACAGCTTACATTTTCCGGGAGGACTTCAGCAATCCAAAGTACTGCTATTCGGATTTACAAGACAGGAGAGTTCATCCCTCTGATTTTTGGGAGTGAAAATACAAAGTTCTTTGGTAGGCATGCTGGCTTTCGACTACGATACAAGTAAACATTGCCTGGAATATTTCAAAATTACCTAATCTTACAAACATACAGATACGTTTCCTTACCGTTAAAGTAATAGCTTCAAGAACAGAGATATTTATAAAAATAGCACTGTTTCTTTTGGTCATTCTCTGTATTATTTATATTTGAACCAAATGTAGTCTGTAACATTGAAAGCAAAGATTTTGTTCCATGTACAGTCAGGTGAAAGAGAGATATGGGATGGGATAATAAGCCTTAAGCTCTGAACACGTCTCATGTGCAAACTGGATGAAGCAGCAGCAGTGAAGTGGTTCCCTGCTTGTCTATTTTTTCACTATTATTTTGAGGTTATTATCTTAGTATCAGGCTGACCTAAATATCAGTTTTCTGCCCTTCAGATAAATTCACCAGGTACAAATTTGAATACTACACAAGTATGAAACAGAACATACTAATGCTAATGGCATTTGCATAATTATCTCAAGCAGTTTTAAAGAAAATGTCACAATCTGTAGCATGTTTGTGAGCACAACTTCAGAAGCACATTAAATAGCCTTTTGTGCAGTAAAGCAGAAACATTAGAGAACAAAGATTCTGCTAGGCATTCATGAAATACTCCATAGGCTGTGCTGAGAAATAGCAACAATTAAGGTAAGTTACTGCTGTCACTTACAGGAACATTTCAGATTCAAGTTTTTCACCTGGCCATCTTTACAAGCACTGTGACATTTCCCACATTCGGGGGAATACAGACAAGTAAGCAGCAGTAATCTGCAAACTTTACAGGGGTTTCTCCTTTCCCTGTGTAAAAGCAGAAGTGACGAACTCAAAGCTGTAATATGGCCAGCTTTAAGGAGGAGGAACTACCACAGTCTGCCCCTACTTCACTGCGTACTTAGGAAGAAACACTTCCTTTCCTGCTTTGCTCCATGTTCTTTTTTAATCTTCATGTATTTTCTATAAACCTCAAACTGTCAGAAGTTCGAGACAAACCACTCTTTCAGTATACCGAGTACTTGAACTCGTCCTCCTACACCCGCTAAAAACGAGGTCAAGTTACTTTTTTTTTTTTTAAATGAAAAAGGCTGCTGCTTACTATTCCCCAAGAAGTCCAATTCAAACCTGTAAGAACCACCATTTCCTAAACTAATACCAGAATTTGTATTTTGGCAGGTGACTGAATAGGAACATGAAGACAAAGCGACATAGTAAACCCCACTTCGCCTTCCCTGTCGTGATAATCTTTTCTCTGTGTTTGCAAACAAGTGCCAACCATACTGATTACCCCAGGGTTACAAACGAAACCTGGAATCCCATCAGCCAAAACCGAAGTGGAAACCAGAACGTAACAGAAGCCAATACAAATACTCCTCTGAGCATCAATTTCAGCAGCAAAACAACTGCTTTTGAAAAGCAGACAAGTATCCTGCAATCCTTATCCTCCAGAGTGGCCCAGAATTCAACATCTTCCCCTGCCAGAAGGGCTGTTTCTGCCACCGAACCCAGGAGTAACAGCAAACCCAAGAGCACGGTGACAAAAGAAACATGTGAAGACAATAAGTCTCTTATACTGATTTGCTTCATTGTAATAGCAGTGCTGATGCTCATCTGCACCTCCTTATTTCTGTCGACAGTCGTAATAGCAAACAAAATGTCATATCTCAAGAAAAACCAGCAAGGAAGACGTAGGCCCAGGAGCAATGGCGATATTCTGGCAACTAACAGTTTATGGCCAACGGCAGCGGGAACGTGGCAGAGGATGCCCAAAGACACAGCTGGAACTGACTTGGTCATGCACGACTTACTATCTGGGCGAGATGCTGCGATCCAAAGGAAAACTGAAGACGAAACTACTGAGAAACTCAACAAAGAAACAGATAACGAATGCGAAAACAAAGACCCATCAAAGTCACACAAACCCATTTTAACCAATTTTGTAGTTGAGATTTAATTCATGGTCAGGTAAAAGCTCATCTTTTGCCATTTTAAAGTCATTAACATAAGGCAAAAGCTTAGCTTTCAGGCAACAACATGAAATTTTAACACAGAAGAGCTAAATTCAGATCTTGGGGTTTTACCTTGTATGATAGTGGGAAGGCTGTAGCAACGTGTACATCTAGAAGGGAGTAAGACTGTGCTAAACAGCTTTCTATAAAGCCTGTCAAGACAGGGTTCACTCCTTGGACCAGAAATCATGGTGATAGGAGCTGAACAGGATAAAACAAAAGGACTGAAGTCTGACCATTCTCAAAGATCATTAAAGGGGTGGGGGGAAGGAAAGTATTGTTAGTCTAATAAATGTCCCGTACCATAAGGTGCTACACAGCTATAACCAAATTGCTTTTTTAAAAAAACCATAATTCAGTCCCAACTTTAATGCAGTTATGGAACCAGGAACCAAGCCCCTCAAAATGCCCTTTCAGCTTTCACCATCACAAACTTCTTAAACCACCTTAACTGCTTCTGAGCCAGACTGAGGTTTGAATCATATTTATTGTGTATTGACTTTGTGTATGAATATATGACATTTGTGTTACATCTTAGATTATAAGAACTGTTTCAATTTGTTACCTCCAATAAACTAGCAACACCTGTTTTTAAATAATTTGACCTCTGTGATACTATTTCTCTAAGTCAAAATATTACAAAAAATGCTGCACAAGGCACTTGGGAATATTATATTCCTGTAACATTTGCTGAAGGTCAGTAAAAGGTCTTCTCTGATGACTAGATACGATTTCTTGCAGCATGGAAACACACTCCACTTCATCCTAATACAACCAATCAGAACACGCCAAAAATGTCTTCAAAGCCACCCCAACTTTTAGTTTCTTTATTCTCATAGATTTTCCTGTATTTCTGGGGAGATGTCTCTGTCTGGTCTCCCTACAGCAGAGCTGTTATTTTAAGGGAACATGAGAAGCTTTTCAGAGGCTACTTCCAGGGTTAAAGATAAAGTGGGAAGGAGTTTGCAAGTGTAGCCCAGAACTGGAAGTCATTAAAAAATAAGTTAACTGGAGATGAAAAACAAAACCAACTACTAAGGGGCAAATTTGGATGAATCTGCCATAAACCACATCCTCAGTCCTTAGACCTCAAGGGGAGGAGGCACAACACAAAACACAAATAGAATAGGAGGGCAGGGAATTATGCCAGGTATTTCTAAAACATGAGGAGAAGAGCCAGGAGAAGAGTAAGTGCAAGCTGTGACAGATCAGTGCTGACAACCTAGTACTTAGAGGAGACGAACTGAGGACATCTCACATTGGTGACAAAGAGAGATAAAGGGCAGTGTTGAGGGACGCTGCCTTGCAACCTTCTCCTTCCCCAAAATGACCACAAGCACAGGAGGCAACAGCAGAGGCTGTGCAAGTACTAAAAAAAGAATCTGAGATAGCAAATGTGAGACTCTAACCTGGTGCAAAACTGCTCAAAGCTTGGAAGGTGTGAACAGTTGAGGAACCAAACCAGGAGAAAGAACGCGTAAGAGTTTGCCAGCCTGCATACAGGAACACAGCAAGCTGTTAGCAGGCAGCAGATTACAGGGGTAAACCAGCACTGTCACGAAAAAAGCAGGCAAAAAAAGGAAAGAATCACAAATCTATCAGTGGAGGAAGGAAAAACAGGAAGGAAAAATCTGTCAGTGAGGTAGGAACTGTTGCAAAAGATAGGTGGAGACTTATGAGGGTTGATGAGAATGGGGATGAGATGAAGGAATCGGACAAGAAACTGAGTTATAATGTGAGTAGGGGATCAGGATTTGTGATTGCTGCAGGACCAGGGAGAGCCTGAAGGAGAACTGGTGCAATCTGAAGAGAGGTACAACAGGAAAAGCAGGATGAGACGAAGAAGCTGCAGAAGGATCTGGCAGTAGCTACTTGGCACTGACAACACAGTTGCAAAATGCTGCAAAGACGTATTTGTGTAGGTTTCTTTTTGCCAGGCAGCCTTTCTAGGCAAAAATGCTCAAGGAGACAAAGAAAGTAGTTTGGGTTACGCTACATGGTACTGACAAAGACAGACAGTGGGAAAACAGCCGCTCGGAGAGCACAGCCCTGAGCAGTGATGGCAGCAGGTACCAGAGCTGCCCAGACAGAAAACTAACGTGGAGCGTAGGGGGCAGGAGAAGGGGGAAATCTGTAGCTGTCTGCCTCTGAATGCAACACCACAAATGAAGAAGCATAAAAGCCAGCCAGCATCCTGTGACCAGATAGCTTTCTGTGACTCACTGCAATGAACTTAAGGCGGTTTTTCCACATATAATCGTAACAGTGCACCAAAGCCACCACTGAAATCACATCAGTGAGATTCCAGTCCAGTCCAAACCTGCTTAAGTTCTGACTCACACTGTTTTCAAAGACAGGCAAACAAGTACTTACGACTTTCCACGTAACAGGCCCCCAAATCCACCAGCATTTCAATATTTGAGTTTTATAAAAACAGCTGAAAAGCGTGCTCGTGAAGCACGAGAACTCCGAGACAGGGCTCTCGGCAACCTCCCCGCTCTTGGCACTTCCTGCAGCAAGTGTTGGTAAACTTCCTCTTCAGCTGCAGCAACCTACTTCAACATGAAACGAGCCATTTTAAGCCGCCCGACTTTCAGCACGCAGCCCGTCTACCTACGGCTTCCAACAACACAGCAGGACGATGCTTGCTTGACGGAAGATAAATGTGCAGGTAAGAATCAGCTTCTAGATGGAAAGGCTTAACGCTTGTATCCCTGGTCTGAGATGGAACTGCGCTGTGCACAGCACGCCGTCTCCCGACTTCGGCGTGCATTCAAAGCTCCTGCT